TAGTACTGGAGGTCAGAAGGTCGCGTGATGATGAAAAAAACTTCTTTCAACAGTAATGATCGTTATTACTTTTTGCCGCTAGGAGTTCTTTTGGATATAGTAAGCATGGTGTAAAGCTCTGGTTATATATAAAACCTATTTCATAAAAAAACAAATACATATTACCCATATTTAAAGAGAAGTTCGCTCCCATTGGAATACCCGCTGTTTGTTTATATACCATTAAAAGTAATATAACTATTATAAGCACAGAAATGAAGAATATTTGATTTTAGTCAATTTAAATTTTGGAATATCTACTTCTGTATCTATAAAATTTTCGAACAGGCCATTGAATACTTTGAATAAATCTTTCGGATATATTTTAGTATATAATGTCGTAAAATCATAAGTGGAAAAAGAACTGACCGTATCTGAAGCATTTAATTTATTTATACATTCCAAAACTGGAATGTTGTTCTTAATAGTCCAAAAAACAGTTATCTGGATAATTTAAACTTAGTGCTTTAATTTTTTTCATCCACAACATCTAGAATAGTATTAAGAACAACAGATACAGATTTAATAACTGTATTTAAATAATTTGTAATAAATCTGAACTTGATAGGAATTTTATGCAATATTGGAATAGCATATAAAGATGGCAAGTGAGAAGAAGAAGAATCTACATGTATATTTCACTTTTATATGGCTTTCTTTATATTGGCAATAATATTATTTTTCTTTAGAGTTCTTTTGCTAAATATACTTGTTTTATTAATTTCTTTAACTAAGATATATAACTAATAAATTCTTCTTGCACTTTTTTATTTTATTTTTGAAAATATTAAAAGATATATCGATTTCGTATTGAGATAGGTTTAAGTTTCTTAGACATTTTTTAATGAAATATTATTTAAAACATTATTATGTCACCTTTTTAGAAAATGGCGGAGGTTGGGAGTAACTTATAGTACAATTATTAAGGTGGATTTTTTTTTTTTTACTTTATGAACTATTAGAACTTTTAAGAGAGGAGGTTAGGAGTAACTTTTAGTAGAAATATTTTTGGAGTAGTTTTATCATATTTCTACTTTTGATATTAGTAGAACTTTTAAGGGCAACTGCCTTCCCACAGCTGGCTGCAGACAGTGAAAGGCAGTAGGAGTTGAGATGTTGTGGGTATAAGCATTGAACTCTGTTCCCTTAATTGATTTTCCATGATTGCTAATTAGTTTTTCATCATCGTTTGGATTTTGTCTGATAGATGGGATATCATTAACGCTTTTGGGATCTATCACCACAGATAATTTCCGTTATGACTTCAAGGTTACGACTGGAAACTAAAATGGACTTTATAAATTTTAAGGCTTATCTTATATTAACTTCATTATTGTTTTATAGTGCTGATTTTAATCGCCTATTAACAACTAATGTACTTAATATGATAATAGTTTTGAAGCTATTTCTTTCAATATATAGTGTCTCTAAAGGAGAGTATTATAGCATCTGTGATGTCAACTACTGTTGCCTTACAATATTGTTTGGAGTGAGGAGAGGCTTTTGTCTAGTTATATGGCCATTGTAGCCCCTACTATGAAGATAACGTTTGATGATATTTGAATACGTTTGCCCAACTAACAAGCCAAAAGATTTAAAGATACTGTGTACTGTCAATAAGAAGACACAAGATTTAACGATAGTGTTTACTGTCAATAAGAAGACACCAGATTTAACAATACTGTGTACTGTCGATAAGAAGACACATAATTTAACAATACTGTGTACTGTCAATAAGAAGACACAAGATTTAACGATAGTGTTTACTGTCAATAAGAAGACACTAGATTTAACAATACTGTGTACTGTCGATAAGAAGACACATAATTTAACGATACTGTGTACTGTCAATAAGAAGACACAAGATTTAACTATAGTGTTTACTGTCAATAAGAAGACACTAGATTTAACAATACTGTGTACTGTCGAT